GGTTTAGTCCTGGTTTAGTCCTGGTTTTAGTCCTGGTTTAGTCCTGGTTTTAGTCCTGGTTTTAGTCCTGGTTTAGTCCTGGTTTTAGTCCTGGTTTAGTCCTGGTTTAGTCCTGGTTTAGTCCTGGTTTTAGTCCTGGTTTTAGTCCTGGTTTTAGTCCTGGTTTTAGTCCTGGTTTAGTCCTGGTTTTAGTCCTGGTTTAGTCCTGGTTTAGTCCTGGTTTTAGTCCTGGTTTAGTCCTGGTTTTAGTCCTGGTTTAGTCCTGGTTAGTCCTGGTTTAGTCCTGGAGTCCTGGTTTTAGTCCTGGTTTAGTTTAGTCCTGGTTTAGTCCTGGTTTAGTCCTGGTTTAGTCCTGGTTTAGTCCTGGTTTAGTCCTGGTTTTAGAGTCCCTGGTTTAGTCCTGGTTTAGTCCTGGTTTAGTCCTGGTTTTAGTCCTGGTTTAGTCCTGGTTTAGTCCTGGTTTAGTCCTGGTTTAGTCCTGGTTTAGTCCTGGTTTTAGTCCTGGTTTAGTCCTGGTTTAGAGTCCTGGTTTAGTCCTGGTTTAGTCCTGGTTTTAGTCCTGGTTTAGTCCTGGTTTAGTCCTGGTTTAGTCCTGGTTTAGTCCTGGTTTAGTCCTGGTTTAGTCCTGGTTTAGTCCTGAGTCCTGAGTCCTGGAGTTAGTCCAAGTCCAAAAAACAAAAAAAAGTCAAAAGGGATTTAGCCCAAACTGTAAAAACAGTAAAATCCCTCTGTTTAATCCATTTATTTCAACAAAGTAACTGTAATCCAATTCCCACTCACTGAAACAGTAACTGTAACTGAATACAGTTACTCATCATTTGTACTCTGATTACATTACTCTGGTACATGTAATCTGTTACTCCCCGACACTGACTAGGGGTGTGCAAACAGATCAAAATATCGTATCGGTTAATGTGACGATACAGTATCGATATCGTGACAGATTTATCTCCAAGAGTATTTTTTGGTTTATTTTACTAAATTATTTTGTTACAGTTACAGTTTTGTTGTTTGTTCAGAGGAAGGAAACTCGTTTATGCGACACGTTTGACATTTTCACTTGAGGTTTTGATGATTTAAATGTTTGTGTTTCATATGAACTTTGAAGAAGAAGAAGAAGAAGAAGAAGAAGAAGAAGTGGTTTAACAAAGACTTTTAGTCTCACAGACATGATTTAGATTTAGATTTTATTTTTTATTAAACCGTATCAAATCAATTTGAAATATCAAACCAAAAGTGCACTGTGAGACCTGGTTTAGACCTGGTTTAGACCTGGTTTAGACCTGGTTTAGTCCTGGTTTAGTCCTGGTTTTAGTCCTAGTTTAGACCTGGTTTAGACCTGGTTTAGTCCTGGTTTAGTCCTGGTTTAGTCCTGGTTTAGTCCTGGTTTAGTCCTGGTTTAGTCCTGATTTTAGTCCTGGTTTAGACCTGGTTTAGACCTGGTTTTAGTCCTGTTTAGACCTGGTTTAGACCTGGTTTTAGTCCTGTCTAGACCTGGTTTAGACCTGGTTTAATCCTGGTTTAGACCTGGTTTAGACCTGGTTTAGACCTGGTTTAGTCCTGTTTTAGACCTGGTTTAGACCTGGTTTAGTCCTGATTTAGACCTGGTTTTAGTCCTGGTTTAGTCCTAGTTTAGACCTGGTTTAGACCTGGTTTAGTCCTGGTTTTAGACTGGTTTTAGTCCTGTTTTAGTCCTGGTTTAGTCCTGGTTTAGACCTGGTTTAGACCTGGTTTAGACCTGGTTTAGTCCTGGTTTTAGTCCTAGTTTTAGACCTGGTTTAGACCTGGTTTAGTCCTGGTTTAGTCCTGGTTTAGTCCTGGTTTAGACCTGGTTTAGACCTGGTTTTAGTCCTGGTTTAGTCCTGGTTTTAGTCCTAGTTTAGACCTGGTTTAGACCTGGTTTTAGTCCTGGTTTAGTCCTGGTTTAGACCTGGTTTAGACCTGGTTTAGACCTGGTTTAACCTGGTTTAGACCTGGTTTAATCCTGGTTTAGACCTGGTTTTAATCCTGGTTTAGACCTGGTTTAGACCTGGTTTAGTCCTGTTTTAGACCTGGTTTTAGTCCTGGTTTTAGTCCTAGTTTAGACCTGGTTTAGACCTGGTTTAGTCCTGGTTTAGAACTGGTTTTAGTCCTGGTTTAGTCCTGGTTTAGTCCTGGTTTAGTCCTGGTTTATCCCAAAATGTGAAAACAGGAAAATCCCGCCGTGTAATCCATTTATCTCAACAAAGTAACTGTAATCCAATCCCCACTCACTGAAACAGTAACTGTAACCGAATACAGTTACTCATCATTTGTACTCTGATTACATTACTCCGGTACATGTAATCTGTTACTCCCCGACACCGTTTACAGTCCGATACGTATAAAAATGTGTAAGTTGTGACGGTGGAAGTGCAGCGTCGGTGCAAAACAACTCAACGGTGACGCAGCTTTAAAGCCTCGAGTCTTCAAACGTTCGTCTCATGTTGCGGATAATTCAAGCCTGCGTCGGTCTGGGCGCTTTGTCATGTTATAGTAAAGAGAACATTAGATCCACACGGCAGGGGCGCCGCCGCTCGCCGCCGCTCGCCGCCGCTCGCCGCCGCTCCGGGGCCGGTCCGTACGCGCACACACACACACAAAGCTCTCGTGAGTCAGCGTCCTCGGGCTTCCTGTGACTCCTCAGACCTACTTTTCCTCTCGGATCTTTCCCGATAAAACAGAGCGGAACTGACTTAAATGTCACGCCCGGGACACGTGACCACCGGGGGGCAGTATTCTGAATCCACAGCCCCGAGGTTGAGGCGGGCCCGCAGATAACGCTGTGTGTTTTATTTTATTTAAAGGTTGTATGGAGGATTTTTTTTTTGTTTCAAGTTGTCAATGATAGATTATAAAGATGCAGTAGCCTTGTAATTATGATGACCAAAAAAAAGAGAATAAAAATTCATCAACTCTGGACGTGGTGGGGCTAAACATTTGCCAATAGATAACGACACTGCCTCGTTATCTGTGAGCTGACAGGCTGTCAATCAAACTCCCCTACGTTTCTAGCGTAACTGACTTGCCTGCGCCGCCGGTACGTGGTTTACGTACGACTGTCACACAGTCCACAGACGCAAGACGCACAGACTGTTTACTCCACCAACACAACAGTTCTTAGCGGCTTTTTTTTGACCTTATATCTTCCTCGCAGTTTGCACAAAGTTTGTTGCAATGGCGACAAGAATCCAGGAGCAGTTCGCCGCAAAAGAAAGTCCATTTTTGAGGTCGCTGAAAGAAGAAGACAAGGGGAAAAGCAGCGAAGCCAAACTAAGGTGATTCTTGTAGATTCATTCCAGCGATGGTGCGACTGAAGCAGACGCAGGGTCTAAAGACTGAACGCACTGGTCCACAAATTACTCCTGGACAGGAAACTTCTGCTTATTATGAAAACGTACTTTATTTCCAAGAGCTACACAAACGTTTTTCAGGACACGAAAGCGATATCCTATGTCTGAAAACGTAATTTTCAAGGCAAAGAAAGAGTCCGCTTGCTGCTGCGTGTTGTAGCTAGTTCATTCGCACGGAATCTCCGCGCACCTTCTCTGCACCCCTTTCCTGCTCCTGTCCCCGCTGCCCGATCCACTCTTCCCCCTGCTCCTCACTTCTCCGTCCTTGCCTAACAACACTGTAGTTAGTTGTTTACAAGTCATGTGCAGCACCGGCTGTAAACAAACCTGTTTCTGGCGTAAGGAGGAGGAGGGAGGAGGCGTTTCTACGTAGGAGCTGTAGGGGAGGGGGGGGGGTTTCACGCATGCGCAACATTTGAAAAAGGACAAACAGTCGCTGGATTTCTCGTTCCTTGGAAAATCCTCTATACAACCTTTACGGACATATATAAGGCATTTTTGTAGGTTTAATTCTCCGTTAAAGGTCTTATATTATTACGCAAAACCGATTCTTGTGGTTTAAGCCAATCAGAGAGAAAGTAACGTCCATTTGAGTCAAAAACAAAGAGCTGCTTACGTGGAAAAAAAAGGGAAAACATGAATTTAAATGTAAAAAAAAATGACGTAAAATGGACTCAATTCAAACCTGAAATTGTGTTTTTAAAAAATTTTGTTTTGTTTTTTTAAATTTTGTTTCATTCACATTTGAGAAATCATTTAATATTAGTCCTGGTTTAGACCTGGTTTTAGTCCTGGTTTTAGACCTGGTTTTAGTCCTGGTTTAGACCTGGTTTAGACCTGGTTTAGTCCAGTTTTAGTCCTGGTTGAGTTCTGGTTTAATCCTGGTTTAGACCTGGTTTAGTCCTGGTTTAGTCCTGGTTCAGTCCTGGTGTAGACCTGTTTTAGTCCTGGTGTAGACCTGGTTTAGACCTGGTTTAGTCCTGGTTCAGTCCTGGTTTAGTCCTGTTTTAGTCCTGGTTTAGACCTGGTTTAGTCCTGGTTTAGTCCTGGTTTAGTCCTTGTTTAGTCCTGTTTTAGTCCTGGTTTAGACCTGGTTTAGTCCTGGTTTAGTCCTGGTTCAGTCCTGGTTTAGTCCTGTTTTAGTCCTGGTTTAGTCCTGGTTCAGTCCTGGTTTAGTCCTGTTTTAGTCCTGGTTTAGTCCTGGTTTCAGTCCTGGTGTAGACCTGTTTTAGACCTGGTTTAGTCCTGATTTAGTCCTGGTTTAATCCTGGTTTAGTCCTGGTGTAGACCTGGTTTAGTCCTGGTTTAGTCCTGGTTTAGTCCTGGTTTAGTCCTGTTTTAGTCCTGGTGTAGACCTGTTTTAGTCCTGTTTTAGTCCTGGTTTAGTCCTGTTTTAGTTCTGGTTTAGTCCTGGTCTGTGATTTATGTTCCTGTAGATGAAGTTTGTCGTTAACGTTAACAACACGATTTTGCATCATTTTGAGTAAAAAAAACCCCAAACATTAAACACACTGATTACAACACAGATCAGAAAACAACAAAACAACAAAACAACAATCCCAAACTCCCTGCCCAAATCCCGAGAGCCCAAAAAAGTCCAAAGAAAGAGCGAAAAGTCCCGAGTCTCACCTCCCAGGTTCATCCCGGCCTGCAGACACTTCCGTACTCGACACGCCGGGCAGTTTTTCCTCCGGATCTTGTCGATGATGCAGTCGTTCCTCCCGGCGCACAGGTAGTTGTGTTGACCTGCACGAGGAACACACACACACACACACACACACACGTTACTGTCACGCTCCAGAGGTGAACCTGACGAGCACCTGTCAGACGAGCACCTGACAGACGAGCACCTGACAGACGAAAAGCAGGGGGGAGGGGCTAGAGGTTTGGACTGTGAGGAAAAGGTCAAAATATAAGTTTAGAAACATAGAGTGTAGATATAGAAGGACATAGCTACAAACAAAGAGGAAGTGAACATGGGCGCACTTCTGGCTCCATCAACTCTGGCTCCAGTTCACTTTGTGTTGAAAAACAGTCAACCTTCGCTCTGTAACCGCTCGGGACGTGACGTTATCCAAATCTTTGTTTTGGGGAGAGTTACCGTATTTTTTGAGGCGCACTGTAGATTTTTGAGAAAATTAAAGGATTTTTAAGTGCACCTTATAGTCCGAAAAATACGGTAGTTGTGCGGCTTATAACTGCTGTGACCGCCAGGGGGCATCGTTAAGAATGCACGATGAAAGATGATGAAGTTTTATTAAAAATGTTAAACTTTGTGTGTGTGTGTGTGTGTGTGTGTGTGTGTGTGTCCTGAAACATACAAACAGACGGAAAAAATATAAATTATAATATATACAATTATAATAAAGATAATTATATATCTATTATACTCTATACTGTCACTGAAACCTCTCTGTTCATTATACAAATTGACATAAGGTCCTTGAGAAAAAGCCCAGACATTGGTACCACTGTGAAATTTTAAAGAAATGCAATCCTTCCCCATCCACACAGCTTTGAGCACATTTGTTTACGTTTTACAGAAACAAAACTTAAAACCACATGGCTAATTTGCATAAACTGGGCGCTCAAAAAAACAGCTCGCTCCTTTTGCCCTGATGCGGTTCAGCTTCTGTCAGACTTAAAAAGGACACGACTCAGTGGAATATGAGTGTTCTTTCTGTGACAGAGGGGTGTTCTGCTGATGGTGAGTCTGTTCTGTGCAAGTACCATATTTTCCGGGTGATTAGACGCACTCTTAAGCCTCTAACCGCATCAAAAAATGACCGCGCGCCCCATAATCCAGAGCGCCCTATACACGAATCCACTCGGGCGTCCCAGCACGACTTCAGTAAACTACAAAGCCGCAAACACACACGGAGCAGACAGCGACCGCACAGCGAAAAACACCCACAGACACACTCATCACTCCACGCCGACGAGGAACGGAACGGAGGAACGAACCGAAAAAGCGAGCGCAATGTGCCGCTTCTAGACACGACTGAACAACTGAGTCACTGCGAACACGCCGACGCCGACAATCCAGCGTGTCCCAGACAGCACCTCCCTACACGCCACAACTGAACAAAGCCCAGAGTCACCGTGAACGAACAAACAAACAAAACCACTCACCCATCACACTGTTCTGTTTCCTTTACAAGTGTCTCCATGGCCGAGCACCAAAGTCCATCTGTGACATGTTAGTGTCATATGAACATCTCACACTCTGAGGAGCTCAGGGACCAACTCCTGCTGGTGCCCAGAGTCACGACTAAACAAGGGGAGTCAGAGTTTCAGGTTCATGCAGCTAAAACCTGGAACAGTCTGAACATGTGAGACAGACTCTTCTGTGACGCTGTTTAAATCCAGACTCAAAACATTTCTGTTTAACTGTGCAAATAACTGAAAGGTTTTCATTCCGCACTCTTCTCTCCAATTTATGTCCCTCTTTTTAAATTTTAATCTTCATAATTACCTCCGCCAAGGTGGTTATGTTTTTGCCGGCGTTTCTCTGTTTGTTTGTTTGTTTGTGAAAAGGAAGAACTGATTTCATTTTGGGGCTGATCCGGAAGAAATCCTGGATTCTGAATCACTTTGAAATTTTAGTTAACATTGTGGTAAATGGGGCCAAAAATTTTGTTTCTCAATATCTCGGTTAATTATTGACCAAACCCCATGAAATTTGACTCAGGGATGGACAATGGGATCCTCTTTCATATTCCAAAGGCTGATCCGGATCTGATCCAGAAGACTGATTTTATCGCAATTTATATAAAAAATGGGGGTAGTCCTTGGCGGAGGTCTGCGCTCTCTGACTGCTTTTCTAGTTTTTTATGTTTGATTTGTTTTTATTATGATTTTAATGTATTTCTTATTCTGTAAAGCACTTTGAATTACTTTGTGTACAAACTGTGCTGTACAAATAAACTTGCCTTGGATGGGAAGTAGTGACGTCTACAGTGAGGTTATGGGGCGCTGTCGTACACAGGACCCACTGACCGTCCAAGGTTGGTTTCCTGGACGGTGTTGGGCACTTGGGGGGTGATGAGTTTGCATGTTCTCCCCGTTGTGTGTCCGGGCTCCCTCTGGGCACTCCGGTTTCCCCCACCAGCCCGGAACATGCCCCGTCGTAAGCCAATACTCCGGCGATGTTAAGCCTTACTTAAGATTCTGGCTCGGGATCTGGAGACGAGTCCCCGGACGCTGCGCTGCGGTCGTTCCAACGCTCTTAACGGGTTGCCAAAAGAAGCTCGTCGTAGCGTGGGTCAAATGCCACGGATAAAGTTCCCTACTGGGACTTTTTAGGGTTGCTACAGCGCGGTGTGAGCGACGAGGATTTAATGTCAGACACCATTACAAGCTGTTTAAAGGTTGTATATTACACAAAATGGACCCTTACGAGCTTTAAGCCGCGTTATAATTACCTCATCAAAAACAGACCTGGACTTGTGTTTTGTTTCATTCACACGTTTGAGTAACTTTTATTATTAGTCTGTCTACAGCAGGAGTGTCAAACATACGGCCCGGGGTCCAGATCCGGCCCTCCAAGAGCTTTAATCTGGCCCTCGGCTGATTTTCTACTAAAATATTTTAATTATATTTTCTATTAAAATCTTGTTAATTTTCTGCGGTGTTTATCACAGCAGCGTCTCCAGCGTCTCTGTACGTGGCCCCTCCCACCAGAGCAGCACAAATGAAGACTTGTCTCTTTCCAAACGCTCTTAAAGGACGATCGTTTTGACTGTTGACCGTGACACCCTCATCAGAAAAATGTCCAACATGAGAAAAGTGGAGCCGAAGTGCAGAATTTTACAAGAAAAATTGACTTATTCCTATTTGCAGACAAGTTAATGTTAAAACATTGTGTTGAAATTACATTTTTCTTAAAGTTTCAGGTTGTTCATAATATTATATTTAGTAAAAGAAAGATTTGCATTTCTCTGCACAAATATTTGAATTTACCTTCACAGTGAAGCGTCGCTGTGAAAGGAGTTAATTCATGGAAAAGTCTTGACAAAGAAATAAAAGAATCAAGTACAATGACGACATTTAAAAAATACATCAAATCAAATGCAATGTGTTTGTAAGAAAAAGAAAACTAACGTGTTGTGCATAAAAGTGAAGATTTCTGTTTGTAATTGATCAGTAATTGTGCCTGAACTGATTTGGAAAGTTTATTGACCATCAATATTGATGTTTTGTCTTGAAAGGGAAAAGGGGGCAGAGAACAGAGGATTTTTCTTCTTTCTTCTCCTTTTCTTTCATTTCTTGTATGTCTGATGTTGTGACACTGTCGATGTCTTTTTATACTTTGAAAAAAAAAAAAGAAAGAAAGAAATGTATTGCTACTTGTATTGCTTTTATTTGACACCCCTGGTTTACATCTACAAAGCTGAAAATACTCTGTACCACCTTGTGATGTCATGACGTGGTAGTTCTCAGCTCCTTTTACCTTTTCACAACAAAAAGTAAGATCCAGCCAAGTTCAAACTTTCTTGATTCAAGTTCTCTTATCATGATTTGAGTAAATTTCACTTCAAAAGTAAAATGATCTACAAATGGAACAAGACTTTTTGTAGTTAAAATATGAAAAAACATTTTGCTACAGTCGCAGCACAATCACCTCACAGTGAATATTAGATTTTTTTTTTTATGTCCGTCCAAAACAAAAACAGTGTTTCAACTTCAATTTCTCTTACCCAGCATGATTTATTTGCAGAATTTCACAACCACAGTAATTTACAAGGTGTTTCCTTTTATATGAACCATGTGTTTGCAGTTTAATTTGTTAAAATATCATATACTGGTCATTTTGGAATTAGGCCCTGGGGCTTATGAGGTTAGGGATAAGAAAAACATTAACTCTTTGCACTTAAAATAAAAAACTAAATATTAAGAGAAAACACATTTATTTCATTAGCATTTTAAGTTGAATCTATTTTTTATTTTTTTTTTATTAATTAATCATTGCATTTCTCTAACGCCTTTCAAGACACCTGAAGCACTTTAATGTTCATTGTTCTTTCACTCCACACTCAGTAGTGGTAAACTACTACTGTAGCCACAGCTGCCCTGGGGCAGGCTGACACAAGCAAGGCCCCATGAACCTCCACCATCACTCACGCACACACCACTTTCATACGAGGCAATGTGAAGTGTCTTGCCTAAGGACACAACAACAGTTTTTGCCATTAGTGCCCCCTGTGGCTCCTGGAATTCCCAGTGTCTCCAAGTCCTGACCAGGAACAGCCTCGCTGAGCTTCTGATCTGACGAGATCAGACTTTAACAAGTCGTTGTGGCCACTCAAATCTCCTACATCTACTCAAATAAACTAAAATGATCTTAAGTAATTTTAACTTAGCGAGATGTCACTTTTTGTAGTATAATTCAGTAGAAAATGGCATTTCCAGGGCTGAAAAAACCTGTATGGAGTTTAAAAACACAGTGGAACACTTCCTGTACGGCCACATGACATCACAAGTCACAAGACATCACAAAGTCTATTAAAGACGCACGAAAGAAACAAAACACAACTCCAGACGTGTTTGTGACGAGGAAACGTTATCACATAAATCAGAAAACGCTTCATATTTCCACTTTAAACAAACATAAAACAGCTCGAATTTGCCATGTAGGCGAAGTGTCTTGCCCAGGGACACAACAGCGGCTCCAAACTGACAAAACACAAAACATCCCCCTACATCCACGTCCATCAAAACGTCTCTCTGTCAAGTGCAGTTTCGTT